TATATATATATATATATATATATATATATATATATATATATATATATATAGTGGGCAGTAATCAGATTGTGGAATTTCGTTTATGAAGAACTCTACCCTTCATTTGAAAAACCCAAAGCCTAAGCGTATTATATATGAACTTTCCCTTTTTGATTCGACAGTGGTCATGTTATGAACTTTCCCTTGTGAATTGTGATAACATCAGTTGATTTGCTGTAATTTTCAAACTATGAAGCTGCTCCATAACCGGTAACTCCACATTGTTACTTCATATTTCACATATTCCCGAATAATATTTTTTTAGGAAAATAAAAGTTTCTTTTTGTATGTTTGATTTCCTTCACTTCACTTTTAACCATTATATTACTTCTCCAATCATTTCTATTTCCTGCACCCGCTCCGCTTAATTTTATGTCTCTTTCATTTTGTTGGTTTTATTTCTTTTTTATCTTTTGGCTAGAATTGTTAATTCTCTTATGATATATTTTCGTACTTTTTATATATTTTTAAGATTATAACAGACTTCAACTGAGGAAAGACAAGATATATGGGAATTACATCTTGCACATATAGAAGTTACTTAACAAAAAGCTTTAGACATCAAATCGTCCTTGGCTTTATCCTTTAAATTAAGTCTCTCTTGTTTTTGTAAGTGTCAAATGGATTTCCACTGTAGTAATGGTAAATTTGGTTGTTAATCCTAGATTTGAACCTAGACTTAAGAAGAAAAAAAAAAAGAGTATATGTTATTTTTATCATATTCAAGCTTACATTAGAAATTGAAAAGAATCACCATCAAGATCAAAGAATCACCATCAAGATCACAACTCGCAAAGTATTTGAGCAAAATTAGGTGGTAGAACTTTGATTGATAATTACAGATTTATAATTAATTGACAATTATGTGTTAGATATTACAATTTTAGAACTTGCCATAAAAGGATGAGAATCTAGGTGCAAACATTTGTTTTAGTTAGCTTTTACACAGAGAATGAATTAGCGCAATGCAGGAAATAATAGAGCACATTAGCAAGAATAAAAATATCACATACAGTAGGCTGTATTAAGGCGCCCAACATTTTTTAAAATAATAAAACACTAGAAGTACCGATCGAGAACAAGGAGAAATGAACAAAGGTAAATCCACTCTACAGAAAGTAATGACAATACATTTTTGTCCGTACACATTTCAAATCTCATTTTATTAATTTTGGACACTCCTTATTTGCAGAAATGGGAATTAACAAAGTAAAGATAAACCAGATAACCTTGGCAAGTACAGGAAACCTTTCCTGAATTATAACTAGAGGAAATTCAGGGTCGTTTTTTGCTGTTGACAATTCATGCTGGCTGGTGCAAGGTTAGTGAAATCTAAAGCCATCTCATTCTTCACTTCTCTCTTGTTCTTGGTCGTAGCTATCTATATATATGCACATTAGTCATTTGGAGAAACATGGAAGATATTTTTGCAGACTCCACCTAATTCGTGCTAGTGGAAGAGAAGATTTATCATCTAAAATTTACCTTGTTCTCCAGATGTTTGTTTTCTTCACTCAGCAGTTTTTCCTGTAGAGAAAGAGTCAAAGGGTCATGCCTGCTGTCAAGCATAGTGTAATAGCAACTTTAACATCATATTAGTTCGAGTAGATATTCTACGACAACTCAGCTGACTTGCATAGAACAACCAACATTTTGATAGAGAAGGGTTCATACGATAGACCAAACTCTTATTTTTCGAGAAATGCTTTCCCCATACCAATTCACATATTTGGGCCTCTGTAGTAACCGATCACACCTACCTTCTCACGAAGACTTTTGATAGATTCAATCATCAAATGCGTCTGCATAAAACAAACTAGTCAAATCTCCTTCCAAGGATAAACAAATGTCAAAATATACTTAAAAAGAATATGCAAATACTTCTAAAATTACGAAATAGTCAAAATAAATGACTAGCTTGTGAAACCACGAAACATTTTCAGGTCCCTGGCTTTTGGACAAGAAAATAAATCAAGACAAACTTACAAATTACTACCTGGTATAAGATTACAAGAGGTATAAAGAATGAGAACACAACTGAAGTACACTAGCTACGGGGTGTAACGGTCTAAAAAACGTGATGTACAGATCAACATTTACCAGAGTTCTAAAAAATGCAAATTTAACTAGGAAAGTAAAAAACGTAGAGAGGAACTTGGTGTGACCTTGCTAGATCTGACTTGCATTAGAGCAGTTGGCAGTTGGTTTTCCAAATGGACAAGGTCAGTTACACTGAGATCATCAACAGCAGGTTCCTCGAGTTGCCTTTCAAATTGAGACAGAAGATCAGTAGTATTCCTTTCAAGAAATGAAAGAGGAGCATGAGGTCAGTACCTTCCTACCGTTTGTAACAGTTGTCCCACTGTCATGAAGCTTGCATATTTAGAGTGCTATTTCCACCTCACAAGGACAGAAAACTTTCAGCAATCAGAACTGTAAATATTGATCACTACTCTAAATGCATCAAATAACACATGATGAATTGATAATAAGTTATTCCATATAATAATGGACTATAAAATAATACTGTCAGAGGTTGTCCTTATCAAAAGAAAAAAATACTGTCCGGTTGTTTTGCTTTCAACAAAATACTAACCATGTCTAAGCACAAGTCATTTAGATGAACAAGACAAGACACTTGTTAGGTGCCATGCCATGATGACAAGTTACCATCATTAATCACTACATACTAGGTTGGGTCAGAGGGCACACCGCACGCCAATATCCCGATGTGCATGTTGGTGTCTTTAGACGTATTCAGGATACAGGAAATTACACTGGATTATACAGTTCATTTGGAAATAGTCTCTGACTGATCATATATCAGTATGTATTGACTATGCATCTATGGGGTTGTTTGATTATTATTCAGGGTACTGTACATAAGTTATTACTAGTTTACAGGCAGTGAACATATTTCAGGTATCCAGAGAGAACTCTTTAAGTCATCAGAATAAACTGGATTGCCAAGTCAACTACCCATATACCTCGGTGTCCAAAACTTCTGCAGAGCTCTCTTTTTCTGCTTCCACATGGCTGTGGTATCGATGAACGATCTCTGTGAGACTGAAACATACAAAAGTGTGAGATGCGATTACTAATGTGTAAGTACACAAAATTGTAGGATACAATTATTAAGTGATAAATTACTTATTCCCTCAAGTTATTTGATGTTTAAGCAGTTAAGTTTACATGTTCTAAACTATGAAAGAAGCTGAGAATTGCATAATCACAGGAAAATAATAAACTTAATTGATTTTATCCAATCCTATATAGTATATTTCACAATTACCTCAAGCTGGTGTATACTTTCTAGATGTGCTTTATAGTTTCTCCAAGGAGCTGCAAGCCCTCATTTGTATTTCTTGTGCCTTTGATTTTTTTTTTTCCATTTTAATTCACAACCTCGTTAGCATACGTTGACTTTTTTTTCTTTTTTTCCCTTTGGGTTGCAAGCCTGGAAGGACCTTTTATCGAAGCATAGAGTTCGTATTTGGCCAACAGAATGGGGTGTCTCGGTGATGATGCTACACAAGCTCCCTTGATTGGTTTCAAAGGTGTGTGTTTTTCTACGTTGTTGTTGTTAACATGAAATATCTTGAACTAGAAATATAAAGTGCATGAGCAAAAATGCTCTAGAAAGTTGACATGCCAAAAACATAGACGAGAAAAGAACGAGCATGACAATAAGAAGCATCAAATCTTGTTGAGGTTGCCTTGGCGATAAGGAAATAATCTTCTAAAATTTGAGAAATTTTTTAAGGTGACACGAATCGTCACAAAATCATATCACTCGAATAACCATGCCAGGTAAAGGTGATACCATACTGTGTGGGTATTCTATTATGAGGTAAAAGGGTGTAAAGCATATTAGATGGACGTTAAAAGCTTCGTATAACTTGAAAAATCATTCATTCATTCATCTGTAGGAGGTCAGAGACCTTATACTAACTTTCATACTAACTTTCATACTTATAATAGCAATCTTTGATAGATTAGAACTTGATTAACCGTAGTATAGTAGTTTCATATTAGAATCAAAGGAATAACTGCAATGGTCCTCGTATGGCACAAGATTATGCTCTAGTATGGTGAGAGACCTAGCACAAAATTATTACACCTGCGTGAGGGTCACAAAATATGTTTAACATAAAGAAGCAAAGCGAGCATCGGGACTAAGTAGAGTTGTTCCTCCATGGATCAACAAGCCAAGATCAAAGAAGGAATAGATAGCGCATCCAAAAAAAGACAAAGTCGAATAATAGCTAAAAACCTCATTCCAGAAGGCACTCTACCACAGTTGTATTTGAACAATAGCTACAAATGCCTAGTACTACCTTGCATGAAGTGTAATCGAGATTGTGATATTGTGGAATATGTTGATCTTTTCAATGAGATAAAAACTTGGCACCACACTCCATAACAGCACTTCAGGACTTCCAAACGACGTTTTTCGCCAAGATTAAGACTCTCTTAATAACTTCTCTATGCGGCTATGTTGCGCGGACTCTCCTAAATGCTGCTGCATCCGTGTCAGATCCTTAAAAAATACCATGTACCCGACAAAATTTTCGGAGAGTTCGAGCAACGTAGCTCTATGGAACACAATCGTTAGAAAAAATCTTTTTTTTTTTCCAACTAGATTTTAAAACTAGTAATTTCTATTAGGTTCTACTTTTTATCTTTCCCTACTGCCCCATCCTTGTAGCTAGATCAAGAAAGAACCAAATCAATCCTTCTTATGAAGTGGCTATGAAAATTTCCAAAGGAAAAGAAAAAGCCATGGTGCTCATATTTCGCTGCTAAGTGCCTCTCCAATGGCAAAAATGGATTGACCAACCCACCTCGTAAATATCATGCATCTAAAGCAAATACTCGGAATGCTCCACGACTAAGTATACCCATTCAGACTCACTTTTGTTCAATTATAAAAAAGTTTATCCACGACACATCTCCATACATTAACTAGTTGAATTCCAAAATATCTCCTTATGGCGCACCATTATAGCACAACACTTTGCAAGCTGTCTTCCTTGTTGGATCTGTGTAGAGTAGAATATCTATTCTCCTTCTATGTACTTGATCTCGTAAAAGCAACTTATGTCAAGAAGCCCGAATTCCTAGTAAATATCAAAAAACTAAACATATGTGTAGAGTAGAATATCTATTCTCCTTCTATGTACTTGATCTCATAAAAGCAACTTATGTCAAGAAGCCCGAATTCCTAGTAAATATCAAAAAACTAAACATTACCTCTTTCAGAAGACGATATTAAGAAACAACCAGTGTTATCAAAGGCGTGTTTAAAGCGCGCTTAAGCCCTAAAGCGAAGCTCAAAACATGTTGAGCGCTTCGCCTCGCTTAACGGGCGCTTCAGTGTTATCATCAAGGCTCTAAGGCATACTTTTCCTTGCCAATAAGTGTAATCCTGAAAAGGTGACACTAAACAATTGATATTTCACTTTATCGTAAATTCTCTTCAATTTCTTTGTCAATATATTCGGCATTCATGCTTATATATATTAGTCTTGGACTACACGTACATATTTGTAGTTTTTCTCCATTTGCGCCTTTCTTCTTTAAAGCCAAAGCTTCATTTGCGCTTTGCGCTTAAAGCCCCAACAAACTTTAGAGATTTTTGGAAACGGAAAGAGGGATTAAAGATATGAACCGTATAGTCACATATTGTTAGATCGCCAGACGCTTTCACTATGTTACGGCTAATAAGTTATTCCGGAAATTTTAACTAGGGGTATATAATAAAAAAAAATTACAAAAATTTTAAAAGCTAATATTAATAAACATCTTTTGAAGTGTTTGTAATGGATCAGTAAATTTATAATTGATGTACCCATTTTTTTAAGATGTCTGAGTAATAATTTCCATTAGCAATATTATCAATAGTCATACTTTCATTATCCAACCAAAGAAAAATAAATTGGCAATTTAAATTCAAATTGAAACTACATCAAAATGACTGAATAGGGTTTTCCTAATACTTTGGGTATAGGTAAGAATTTGGATCACTTGGATCAAATTCTTTTTTTTTAGACCTTTTACAAGTAGATAGAGCAATATATTTTCTTTGGTTCAATGTTGAAAGAATGATATCTAGGATTTTGATTTTTTCCTTTACGGCTGTGGGTTGAGAAAATATGCATATATCTTTAAAAATAATGGGTAGGCCGCCAACTCTAATCCCTAATTAACTCAATAGTATTCCAATGCATAATTTACATATTCAATCTTGACAATCGATGTTAGGGTTTCTTTCTCCTAAATGTTATTTACAAAGTTTCTTAGAGTTGAGATTGAGGGTTTACTAAATGAAGAATTTATAGCAAAAGGAGTAGAGCTTGAGTCGGCTAGTCCTTTTTTCTCATCATTTCTCGATGAAAGATTACCCTATGACAATGGACACCTCCATGGTCGTTAATTAGAATTCATATGTTGTACCTGGTCGTTCAGCTCTGTTCCCTATTGGAGAAATGGAAGGAATTTCCCCTTAAGTATTGTCAGAATTGAAAGTATTCAAATAGCAAATCTTGCATACATTGAATGCCTTTGGATTTGAAAAATTAACATGCAATGTTATGCACATTGTTCATGATTGCTACTCGTTTATATATTTTGTGCTGCCACGTGAAACACTTACCAGTATCACTGCCACGTTAAACACTTCGATATTCACCAATTCAACTGCATAGAGAATTGTGTAGGCTGAAGAGGTTAAAGCTGACCAAGGCATGATAGTTTCAAGGCACCATGCCCAATAAGATAAATATTCAGAGATAGTCAAGGGAGTAAAGATGACGACTAATGAAGTTCATTATCAAAGACACGTGGAAACATGCATTGGATCTACAAGTTGAGGATTTACTATCAAAGTTTTATGACAAAACTATTGGAGTATCCAACCATGTGCATCATTGACATTCCGTCTTTCAGAGATGCTCAACACAACATTGACTTGATTGTCGACTCTGTCATTTCAAATATGTCAACATATTGTGTTAATCCTAAAGTCCATAAAAATATGCATTAACAAGAGGAAGGATTACTTAAAACTGAATCAATTCCGCATGAGGAATATGTTTCAAAGAGGAATATGAATTATTTGAGGTATGTTGGAGAAACAAGATGAGCAAAAAAACCAACCCCCATTTTCCTCTTAAAGCTCTCTCTTGATCTCTCTCTCTCTCTCTCTCTCTCACACACACACACACACACACATATATTCTTAAAATTTGAAATTTAGTTAGACTAAATTTCAAATTGTATGTTATATTGTGTCATATTATATGTTATTTGCAAAAGACATAGTCCTGGTTGACGAGACGCAGGGTGTTGTTAATGAGAGGCTGGAGGTTTGGAGACGGACCCTAGAATCTAAAGGTTTCAAGTTGAGCAGGACCAAGACAGAATATTTGGAGTACAATTTCACCGACAGCACCCACGAAACAGACATGGATGTGAGGCTTGATACACAAGTCATCCTCAAGAGAGAGTTTCAAGCACCTTGGGTCAATAATACAAGAAAATGGAGAGATTAATGAGGATGTCACATATCGTATAGGAGAAGGATGGATGAAATGTAGATTCACATCTGGTGTTTTGTGTGATAAGAATGAGCCATTAAAACTTGAAGGTAAGTTCTACAAAGTGGTGGTTAGGCCTACTATGTTGTATGGGGAAGAATGTTGGCAAGTCAAGAACTCTCATATCCAGAAGATGAAAGTAGCTGAAATGAGGATGTTGAGATAGATGTGCAGATATACCAGGTTAGAAAAGGTGGGAGTGGCCCTAGTGAAGGATAGATGCGGAAGGCGAGGCTGAGATGATTTGGGCATGTGAAAAGGAGAAGCACAGATTCTCCAGATTCAAGGTTTCATTGTGAGGGTGTAAAGCCCCGTAAAATTTCGCAAATGAATTCAAGGTTTCGTGGTACCGGAGTAGGCTTACGTGTTTGAGGATTGTATAAAATCTTTTTAAGCTCGCCGCGACTCGGACTTTTAAAGGAAAATTTTTGGCAGAGAAATGTGTTTCTGCGGTCCATTATGCGACCGCAGAACAGGTCTGCGGTTCATTAAAATGACCGCGAACCCAGGCAGATTTTTCCCAGTTCCAAAGGCCAAATTATGCGGCCTATATATGGACCGCATATCAATTATGCGATCGCAGACCCTGTTCCGGAGCTTCATTTTTGGGTTTTTATAATCCGACCCTACTTTGTTAAATAGACGCAATGGACCATTTTCGAGCAAAAATCTGATGTTTTAGAGAGAAGTGAGTGTGTTTTAGAGAGAGAAAACCCTAGGCTAATTATTCATCAAGTCTTGCTCAAATCTTGAAGATTAACAAGGAAAACCCACAAGGACTTCATCCTAAAGGTAAGATTCTACACCCTAACCCTCAATTTCGAATTTTGTCTAGAATTGGGTAATTAGTAAGATAATTTTTGGGCATGGGAGTTGTCCATCTTGCATGCATGTGTTATCAAGGGGTGTAGGATGATTGTTGAGCTAAAATGGTAAAGAATGGGTTGTGGGATGATGGAGTCCTCTATAAAAGGACCTTGAAATCTTGATGCACACCTAGTGTTTGATAAAATGCTCAAATGAGCTAGAACCATGATCATCTTCCTAATTTTGGTTCAATTTGTTATATTTCTCAAATAGCTTGAAGTTGCTAAGAATTCCGGAACATTTTAGAGTTTAAGGAAGCTTCATTGAGGTATGTTGGCTAAACTTCTCTCCTAGAATTGAATCCCATGATGTTCTTGTGAGTCCCGAGTTATCCATTATAAATTAACTATTCCAAATAAGCTTTGTGTTGAAAGGTATATGTTGAAAATGTGTTCCGGATGCTCTTATCATATGATGTTATCCTTCGAAAATGTGTTAAAAGCATGAGTTAGGTATAAAAATGTTATGACTCCAACTAGTGTTTCAAGTGAAGGCTATTATGCCAAATTGTGTAAGAAGTCTCAATGTGCATAGGACTCTTAATTGCTCATAGGTGTACTAAAAGTCGTGATTAAGGATTCCTTGTTGTCGATAATCTATAAAGATGCTTGAAGGTGAAAGTAGTGAGTTGGGGATATAAAGTGTGGACACCGTGCCAAGAGTGAAAGTATGCTTGTGGCCAATAGCGCCAATGAAATGAAATGATGTGTGAAGTGTTATGAAATGAGCCTTGATTCAACTATTCCAAATTTACTCCGAAAATAGAATTATCCAAAAGCTTATGTACTCAAGTCATATCCAAATTTACTCCGAAAATAGAATTATCCAAAAGCTTATGTACTCAAGTCATATCCAAATTTACTCCGAAAATAGAATTATCCAAAAGCTTATGTACTCAAGTCATATCCAAATGTAGTTGTTCTAACCAATGCTAGGCTTGGTAGGTATATTGTGTATGGAGCCCTATGAACGGTCTATGAAACGCATAGGTGTATTGTCTATGAAATCTTATGAACGGTCTATGAAACGCACAGGTGTATGTGTATTGTGTAAGTAAACACTGTGAACGGACTATGAAACGCACAGTTGTATTGTGTAAGTAAACACTGTGAACGAAACGCACAGGTGTATGTGTATTGTGTAAGTAAACACTGTGAACGGACTATGAAACGCACAGTTGTATTGTGTAAGTAAACACTGTGAACGGTCATATATATATAATGATTAATTTTATAAACTAAAATACATATTAAAATTAATAAATAAGAAGAAGAATAAAAGGTGGGGAAAAAGAAAACCAGCGCCTGCCCTAGCTGTGCAGGCTGGAGGAGAAAAACTGAAAAAGAGAAGAGAAGAAGAAGAAAAAGAAGGAAGAAGAAAGAAAAAAAGATAAAATACCTTAGGGTGAGCAGACGCCTGGACTGGAAAAGGAAGAAGAAGAAAGAAGGAAAAAAAGGAGAAGAAAGGAAAAAAAAATTACTTGGAGGAAGTCTCTGGCGACTGAAACCCTAGCAGCAGCAATTGATTTTGGGAAGAAGAGAGAAATGGTCGATCAATTTGGTCTTAGGGGTCTGTTTTGTATTAAAAAAAGACAGACCCAAACTTTCTTTTTTTTAAAAGCTGACCCCTTTCGACTGAAGCGAGCACTTTTGCGCTTCACGCTTCAAAGTCGCTTCGCGCTTCTTCGACTGAAGCGAGCGCTTCATCTGGTCGAGTTGCCTCAGACATGGAAAAGCGAGGAGCCATCGCTTCGCTTCGCTTCTCGCTTAAAGCGGCGAAGCGATCGCTTTTTAAAACACTGACCCTGCTGAAGCGACAGGTATGTTCTGATTTTTCTCCTCCTTCTTCTTCTTCTTTTTCTTTTTCTTTCACTGTTTAAACGTCCAAAAAGCAACGATTTTTTTTTTTATCTTCGGTTCTTTCTCAGAATTGATGCCAATTTTTAACAGTGAAAGAAAAAATTACCCAGTTTACTGTCCAGTTTTTTTTTTCTCCTCTGCCCAGTTTTTTTTATTTTACCTCTAATTTTTATATCCTTTATTGTTAATTCTTATTATCTTTCTTATGTTCTATGTAGTAGTTCTTTTAATGGCGAAGAAGTTGAAGAAGTTGACGAGCAATATAATAATGATAATGGAATACAAGAATTTGACAATTTTGTAGAAGAATAGGATGCTCATTTTGTGCTTTAATTGATGCTATTATTTAGTTTTTACATTGAAGTATTGAACATTTGCTTACAATTACATGTGTTTATGCATTATTTATTTTAATTTTTTTTTTAAAAAAATTCCGCTTCACTTCAAAAAAGCAAGCGCTTCGCTTCTCGCTTCTCGCTTTAAGCGAAATGGGGGTTGTCGCTTTTTCTCTCTTCACGCTCTTCACAACACTGCATAGGTGAAATGTATAGTTGTAAGGTGAGGGGGATGTGAACGGCCTAGTGAGACGCATGGTTAACGCAGACATTAGTTTCCACTTTCATTGGCCTTGCTTGTACATGTTGTTTCAATTACTTTATATTATGTATTCCACACATAGTTCATATGGTCCAGTTAATCCTAAACGAAGTTTTAAATGATGTAAGCATAACGAGACTTGAAATGTGAATCTATAGGATATTTTGTAGCTCTCGATGTACTTCGTATGCCTCTCATTTGAATTACCATGATTTCATATGTTGTTATGTTTGCCTTACATGCAAGTACTATTTCACATGTATTCACGCCTATTTTGCCGGGGGCACTGCATCTTTTAATGGATGCAGGTATACTTCTACAGGATGATATGGATCTTTGATAGGGATCTTCTGCGCAACAGATCATGGTGAGCCCGCTACAATTCCAGTGGGTATTCGAGTCTAGTTGGTTTTATGTACTTAGGTATCTATTGTCATAGAAACTCCATGTACACTATGGGTCATGTACTTATGTTTTGAGTTTCACCATGTATCTATGTTCACAGACATTCATGAAACTATGTACCTGTCATGAGAGAAAAAGAATAGTATGGGCCATTGAGCCAAATGTATTCAATATGAAAGTCAAGATTTAATTATGTTTTGATAAATCATGCATGACTTATGATGAGAGGTTGATGTAACATAGGCTTGCTCGACTGGGTTCACTCGGTTGAGGCGCCGGTCATGCTCCCCAAGTTCGGGGCGTGACAGAGAGGTTGACCTTGGAGGATAGGAGTAGAGATAGGCCAAAGAAGTATTGAGAAGAGGTGATTAAACAGGACAGGGAGCAACTGGAGCTTACCGAGGACATGACCCTTGATAGGAGAGTGTGAAGGTCGAGGATTAGGGTAGAAGGCTAGTACGTAATTGAGCATTTTTTTCTTTTTCTTTCTCTGACTGGTAGCTAGTGTATCTTTCTTATTCGAAGATTGCTATTACTACATACTGTTGATTGATATCTTCCATTTTGATTTTCTTATAATCTTACTGTTATTACTACTTGTTGTCACTTCTTCTTTTCATTTTCTATTTAGCCGAGATTCTATTGGAAACAGCCTCTCTGCCCTCCCAGGGTAGGGGTAAGGCCAATATTATATTTGTAGTTGTAATCAAACAAAGATTTTTAGTTGGCATATTCAATTCCTACTAGAATTCTTTTTTCTATTTTAGTTAAGAAAGGTTTTTCTTCACCTTTTTCTTATTGCAGTTTAATTCGGATTAGTTTTCCTTAATCTCATCACATTTACTTAGTGTAACGCCTATTTAAAGGGCTCAATATGTTGAAACTAAACATTGACGATTAGTTTTTTTAAGCTTTGCTTCAAAAACATGACTTATCTTTTATTTCATTCTTCCTCCTTTATTCAACACTTTGTGAAATCTTGCGGGATTGAGGAACGAGTGGGTAAGATACTTTTTATCTCACGTGAGTTGAAGAATTTTGCTAGTTTTGTGAAAAACTTCAGCGGGGTGCTTTTGTTTTTCCCTCTTATTTGTGCTTGAGAGATGCAAACAACATATGATATATATCTTTTGGATATGAGGAGTCTCAAGTAGAAACTTATACACTTAACTGATCCTATTAAAAGACAAACACAAGTAGCAAACGTATTGAAACCACTAATAGGGATGATAAAAAGTATTTAGTTGATAATCTTAAGTCATATATAAAATGAAAAATTGGTCAATAATGGATTTTTCACTTTTAATTATAAAATCCTAACAAGAGAACTGTTACATTACTTCTGTTCAGGAGATATATCTTATAAATGATCATAGCAATCATCACTATGTGCTATTACCAATTAGGTTGCTCATGTGGAATAGCAATCATTCACAGAAGACACCACAAGCACAATATTTTTTTAAGCTAATATACCATACATTCATGGAAATCTAATTCCCTACTAGCCGTAGTTAAAACAGGCCAACCCGTTTTTTCTCCAAAATTTTCTTCAAACAACAATGTTTCTACATATCAATATTTAATGTGACAAGTCTTCAGCAACAAGAAGTGAATCTTATGAATCGGTCTTTTAACATACACAGACGAAAAATATGAGAATATCCCCAACTAAAATTCCTGTAAAAGCATGTTCAAGAAGGTGGTTCCTGATATTCACGTCATAATTTCTCTGAGCACCGCTATAATCACATGCAAAAAGACAGTCTCTACTATGCATTGGAAAGGAAAACTCGGATAGTAACAGCACAAGACTGACTATTAATGTACAAGCGTGCGTGTTTTGTGTCAGCATATATGGCTAGGTGTCATCCTAGAGATTCACCAGTTATCATTCTAATAATGCTCCTCGAATGTTGAAGAGGTAACAATAATAAAGAATATAATAATGGAGTGCACCTTTTGGATAAGTACAAAGAAACAGAGCATAAAAGTATGGAAAATAGGAACAAACTGTTAATTAGAAGGAAGATCTAACAATATGAAGAGATCTAATGAGGAACCTGTTAGTGCTGGAGAAGTCATAGATTCTGTCACGGTTGGAGAATACCACAACGGCGACATCGGCATCGCAAAGAATAGAGAGTTCCTTGGCTTTCTTTAGGAGTCCTTTCCTCCGTTTAGAGAACGTCACTTGCCTGCTGCTCTTGTCTTCGATTCGTTTGATTTCTACTTTCTTACGCCCCATTACTTTGCCCAATTGGAAATCTTTTAGGTTCCTCTTTTATCTATAATAATAATTGTATCGTTTCATATCCACTGACCACTATCATCGTCTCTAGGGATTTTTGTAAACTTCCATTTTTTCTCTCTTTTCATTCTTCTCTACCCTCCCCCTCCCAAGCCACGCATCCCACCCCCCAACCACTACTCTCTCCAGTGTCCCTTCGTCTATCTCTCGTTTAATTTTTACCTGTTCAAACAGTAAATGGCAAAATTATTGAAGTGGAAGGGGAAAAGGATAAATGTCGAGATGTGGGTTTAAAGACTTAAATAGCCATAGGAACGGAGTTATTAGCAGCCCTTAATGGGAAATTCGTGGATGCAGGACCTACTGACACTGCTGAGTGGTTTAGTTGTTTCGGCTGCCGGAAATGGGTTTAATTTAATAATCGTTCTTTGGAATCAAATCTATTACGGGATGAGTGTTCCGTTTCCGCTTCTTTTACTTTTCCCGTATCGGGTCCGTCGTTTTCTTCTTTTTTTCTTTCGTCATTTGCAAAATTTATAAACTACTATACTTGATTGGAAATAGTATTTATTTATTTTTTTAACCTCCCGTTAGTTTTATGACTCAATTTTTTTTTTATACTTGAAATATTTACTTTTACACATAAGAGAACCATGAAGGCCTATAAATCATGAATTTAGGGTTTTTCATGAAAATCAATAAATCGAACCAAATCAAAAATCAAATCACGACGAAAAATAATAATTTTTGGTTTGATCTGGTTTGGTTTTGAGTTTTAAAAAATCAATTAAATTTTAGTAAATCGACTATAGAAATATCAATTTAAATTTTATTATTGCAAAAATATATGTAATATTTTACATAAATTTCTTAAAATCATATGGTACTACTTATTAATCGTTGCACTCTTAGTTTATGATCTAGTTCTTTATTTTATGATAATATAGCTTCTTCTTTGATTTTACATTCTAACTTGATTGGTAGTTTTAGTTTGCTAACTTAAAATATCTATTTCATGGTCCTTAATTAATGTATCACTATTTAATTCAATTATCACCAATATATTTTGGTAAACGATAAATTTTTTCAAAGAGGGTAATTGATTTATAATGTATATTGAAATTTAATCGCCGGAATATGTGCTTGGCAATGTATGTCTTATATTCAAAAAAACTCGACAAAAAATACTATAAACAAAAGACTAAACAATAAGAAATTAATTTAATTGGTTTGATTTAGTTTCAATATTTAAAATATTAATTTAACTAGTTTAATTTTTTAGGGATAATTGACCCAAATGGAACAAGAACACCTATTATTATTGTGCTGGCTAGGGTTGGGCGTAGTTGAATTTGAGTGATTCTTTTTCTTAAAAAGACTAAATTAATTATGTCGATTTGTTAATTTAAAAATCAAGTCAAATCAACATTAGTCGATCATTATATAAGTTCTTTTAATTTCTTTCGGTTTTATGTTTTCAAATTTATTTTTTAATCATACATATTATAATTGCCATATCATATATTTAAAAGTTTTAGGATAATTGGTAAGAAAATAGAAAATAAATGACTATTAAGGTATATTTTTAACAAAAGTCACAAGAATGTTTACATATACAGATACATCGTAGTTAAATATAAAAATATTCGTGGCTAATCATTTTAGTTGTTTAGCTAGAATAACTTTTTTGTTACATTAAACAATGAGAAATAAAAAGTTTTTAAATAAGAATAAGTTGTGTGTATCACTATCTTTACGAATAATAATCAAAATTTGAAAATTTATTTACGAAATGAAAAAGGGAGAATGATAACTTTTAGAATAAATATGTAATGCAGATAATAAAAAATAATACAAATAAAAATACCAATGTATAGTTTACAACAAGTTTCTAATAGAATTCTCTATTTATAATTAAAGGAATTTTAAATTATAACTTTTAAAATATTAAATTAATGGTGATCATAAACAAAAACAAAAATCTTTTGTTTTTATTTAAAATACCAAATTGAAATACTAGAGAAATGTGAAAGGAATTGTCAAGAAGATCTCCTCCTCAAATTTTAAATTGGTAGTGACCTCCTATTTTCTTTCTCAATTTTTTTGGGTTGGAAAATGGTTAAATGAGTGGGTTAAGGTGGATGTGGCCTTTTAAATATTTTTAAAACTTGTGGGTCACCTATGAGGTTTGAAAACAATCTTTCTTTCTTATTTTTCCGCCAATTTCTCTCTTATCTCTCTACTCTCTTCTCTCTCACTCAACCCTCTCGACCACGGTGGTTTCCGGCAGGAAGGGACAAAAATCAAGCTTCGATTTTGGGTAAAATCGTCTCTATAAACCCAACAAGCACTGTATTGTTGCTCAGAACGTGTCAATTTTGGTAAATCCTTAAAAAATTCCATTTCTTACATTTGTGAGTTCGGATTTTGTAGAGTAATTTTTTCATGTGCATGTTCAAGATTGATTGGGTTGTGTATAACCATATCTTATACGGCGTGGGTGGTCATATTTGCTTCTTGGACTACATTTGTGCTTTGTATTTTAGAATATCGTCGGACTGGCGAACTAATGTTTATTGATAAACCTGTGATGGATTGTCTTCTTGTCATAGATGTTTGCTGGGATTGGGGGTTATTTTTCTTATTTCGATCATAAATTCAAATTATTAAATGTGACATTGTATATTTGTATGTAGGTAACATAAGGAAGAAATCAATTGCTAAGAAGAATATTCCTTCGACAAAGAAGGCAATTGTACAGCCTTCAAACAAGAAAGGAAATGCAGAAACACAAGAAGCATCGCCAAGTAAAGCAAATGTTGAGCCTTCAAAAACTGCTATCAGGAAACAAAATGTAGATACTTCTAAAGATTTCCTAGTGAAGGAAATGCTGAAATTTCTAAGCATGATAGGAGGAAAAAGAACAAAGATCCATCAAAGTCTATAAGTAAAAAAAAGAACAAGATAAAGGTCTAGAGAGGGCATACCTGTTAGTAAAATATATGTTTCAAGGAGGTTAGCATTAGAGGGTGTTGATGAGGAGGAGGAAGAAGACATGAACATAAATTCAGCACAAATTCAAATATAAGAACAGGTTTCCGAAAAAATAATTATCGAAGAAGAAAAATACGGTAATGATGAAGATTTAGGTGGGGATAGGAGGATGATGAAAATGGTGATTATGATGCTCAGGAAGGTTGATAAAAATGCTGAAGAAGAAAAAGAAGAAGATGCAGCAGAAGAAGAAGATGATGAAGAAGATGATGAAGATAATGATGAAGAAGATAGATTGGAAAGTGAAACACATGCAGTTGTTGAAGGTGACCAGGATGCTCTGTCAATTCTTGTGTTTGTAAGGGCGATCGACACATCTAAATACAAATTCAGGACTTTTCTAAGAAAGCATAGACGTTTTCCGGCGAAGATTAGTGTGAGGTCTAGGATCAATTTATTTCGTGAGTTCAAGGATAAACTTAGAACAGTTAAATTGATGAAAAAGTTTAATAGTAGTTATTTTGGACAGTTTGTAAAATTTTCAGAGCACTGGACACAGTTTAATGTACATCTTGTCCATTCCCTGCCGATTTGCCGAATTTATTGCGTGAATAAGCGTGAGTTATGGTTTTTAGCTGGAGACAGGACTGTTCACTTTGGATTGAAGGAGTTTGCTATAATGACTGGATTGAACTGTGGTGCCAAACCCGTAAAGAAGAAATAAAGAAAGTGATGGATGATGCCGAAGCATTGTGCGACAAAGTTTGTCAGTCTAGCAAGAAGGGGTTGGAAGCAGAGATGTTTTTGAAAGAGTTGAAGTCCAAGTGGTTTGACATAGAGGAGAGGTTTAAGATTGCATTAGTGTGATTTGTCCATTCAGTCTTACTTGCAAGGGATAACATAACATGCGCCGATAAGAAGTGGATTTGTATGACTGACAATTTGGAAGTTTTCATGAAATATCCATGGGGAAAGGAGTGTTTTGAGCTTACAATTGAGTACTTGAATAAGGACATGTTTCCAATTTACAAATCATATGTAAGCAAGAGTAAGGAAAATAAAAATCTCTGGTAAAAGTCCAAATCGGCTAGTTATGCCATGTACGGTTTCCTATAGGCATTCATGGTAGGTATTAGAAAAACCTTCTCAATTTTTTTCTGCATTGGACTACAATTATTTTATTTCCTACAGACAAAAATTAATATTTTTTTGTTCATGAAAAAATGTAGGTATGGGCGTACGAAGCGATTCTGCTATTTAGTCATAGTGTCGAGAAATTGTAACGATCCGATCGGTCGTTTTGAGCATTTGCATTCCGTTCGATGGTTCGAGGGCATGAGTAGATTCATATGATGTATTATTACTTGTGTGTATCGCCGGGTTTGGTTTTCGGGTGATCCGAAATTGATTTGGAAGAATGATTCTCATTTTAGAAGCCTTAAGTTGGAAGAGCTAACAGAGTTTAACTTTTGTGTATTTGGCCTCAGATCGGAGTTTTGATGGTTCCGTTAGGTTCAGATAGTTTCGGACTTGGGCGAATGCAAGAATTTGCATTTGGATGTTCCTAGAATGTTTCAACACTATTTGACGAAAGTTGGTAATTTGAAACTTTGGAAAATTCATAAGTTTGATGGGGAGTTGACTTTGATGATATCGGATTCAGATTGTGGTTACAGGAGTTTGAATAGGTTCGTTATGTCATTTATAACTTGTGTGCAAAATTTGAGGTCATTCCGAGTTGAAAGTTGAGGCAAAACTTAGGAAGTTGAAAGTTCAAAAGTTCATCAAGTTTGATTTGAGGTGTGATTTGTAGTTTTTATGTTGTTATGTGTGATTTGAGGTCTCGATTAAGTCCGTATTATAGTTTGAAACTTGTTAGTATGTTTGAACGGGGTCCCGAGAGGCTCAGGTGAGTTTCGGACGTGTTTCAGACTATTTTTCCTCCATGCATGGTTGCTGGTTACTGTTGTACTATGTTGTGCACCTGCGGTTGGTTTTACGTAGGTGCGGTGGTCACAGAAGCGAGGTCGTGAACGCACCTGCGAATAAGGCTGCAGATGGGTTGTTTCCGTAGATGAGGTATAGGGTACGCATCTGCGAGGGCGTAGATGCGGTTGTTTGGAATTGGCACAGAAACGAAAGGCTAGGCTGGGGAGAACATCGCAGATGCGAAGTGTGAAGCGCATTTGCGGGAGCGCAGAAGCAGGAAGTGTTGCGCAAGAGAGGAAGGGCAGCTTGGTTGGGTTTTTCGCAGAAGCGAGGAGGCCTCGCACCTGTAATGTCGCAAAAGAGGAACTTGGACTGCAAGTGCGAGAGCGTTTGTCGCAGAAGCGGCTACTGGTTTGCAGATACGAAAGTGCCTGGGCAGGTTCCATATAATTCAAGGATTTGTTCATTTATTCACATTTTGAGTT